TTTCATATAAACCTGTTAGCAATTACAGTACCCTGTTGTACAATATACCGCATATATCTTTACACTTAACGTTTAATACGCGGTAGTGTTTTGCGTGAATGATGACTAAGTTGTGTGGTTGTTTGTTGCAACGTACTCAAAAAACCATATTATGCGTTGGTGACGTAAAACTTTATGTATATACAGTGAATTTGTTAACGATAATTATGATGCGTAGTTTCGCTTTTTAAGTAATTAACCCCATATTCCGCGAATCTCCATTAATGATAACATTCCTTATTGGAATTTGAAACCATAATGTACATGTATAATCGCGTTGAAGAGCGATTGATTAACAAATCTTTGGATAAACTGCTTATATTTTTATGATATCCGGTGATGGTAAGCGACATTCCTGTCTATAGCAGTTCCAGTGCCAATCAGAACTTTAAACCGCAAAGATCAGAGACGCACATAACTTCACAAGTCCTATGTGCCTGTAATTTCATCAGCACCCTTACCATTCAAAACTGGAATTCAGTGGTTCAGTAATTACTGCTTGGCGGTAGAAATAGGTAAAGTAGCAGTACCTCTGTGGACGAACTCTTTCACAAAAAGCTCCACTGCTACTAAAATGTAACATGTGCATGTAAAATTTAACCCTTGACTTTCTTTACAAGGTCATCCAGTTATTCTGACCTCGTGAGAAGAATGGATTTCCTTTCATACGGTACTCCTATAGAATTCCAGTCTGGATTAACATATCTCCTGTCACGCAAAATCCTTCACACCCTATTCGCACTAAATGATTCACCCTAATTCAAAAAGACGTTATTGTCGAATTCTTAAAGCGAGTGTAAATAAAAACGTCAAAATAAAAAAATGACTCGCGCGAAATCTGTAAAACTTGTTCTAAAGCGCAAGAGTTTCAAAAACTTTCTTTCATTAGAAATTGATAAAAATAAAGCTGTCCTTTTCACTCTTGAAATGTTTAGGTTGGGGTTGAAGAGCCTGAGAAGGACGGGAAACATGAAGACGTCACGCGGAGCGCAGGCGCACGAGTGTTGTTGCACTTGTTTTGTTTATTTTCTCAGCCGCCATATTTTTCTTTTTTTTTCGTATTCTCAAAGCTACGTCTTTGTTCGGGTTCGGGGGGCGAGCAATCGTCTGTTGCCTGGGAGTTGGAAAATATTTTAATGCTAAAGGACTCACCAAAATAGATTTTATATTATTTATTTATTTCATATTCATTCATTACAACAAATAAGGGTAAAATTAATCCAGACACTGAAACTGGAGGAGTTTAAAGTGTGTCACATCTCATAAATTAAGTAGTTACAAACAGTCTTCATTAGGTAATTTTTTACACTGATTGATCAAGCGTAATTCATATTTAACTTTTACCTGTGTATATATAAATGTTCGGAATCATGAAGGTATTTGTTTTCTTTGATACGTAGGGCGCACTATGAGTTTCCGGAATGTATAAGAAAAAAATACTATAAATAGTCAGAAATGAATTTATTGTTTCTGAAAATATTCTCCGTTAGCGTTAATGCACTTTTTGATACGAATGAACTAATTTTGAAAACATTTATGCCACTCCTCCATGACAATCTTTGAAACATATTTTTCATACTCTTCGACAGCCTTCAGGTGATGAGAATCGTTGACCGCGTAACTGGTTCTTAATTTTTGGAAATAAATAAAAATCACAAGGTGCCAGGTCGGGACTGTACGCGGGATGGCTCATAAGGTCAACGTGTGAGTATTAGTATTATCGTAGTCAATAACTTCCGGCAAACAAATGGTCGTGTACCAGTCACTATTCACGGTACGACGATTCTCCAAAGCAACAGTAGCCACGTGTCCAGTTTTATTAATAAAAGAATCATTCATCCGTTTAGAGCCACTTTGCACGCGCGCCACTTTGGTTGGTTTCGGTTCATCTCAATAGACCCGTACGCTCGATTGCTGCTTTGTTTTAGAATCGCAACTATAAATCCATGTTTCGTCACCTGTTGCTATGTCCCACACCAAATTTGACGCCCCTTTGTTGAATCTGGTAAGCATGGCATTACACCAAGTGACGCGATCCGTTTTTGAGCCTCAGTCAAATTGTATGGTATCCATCGAGAGCACAGCTTTTTCACACCCAAATGTTTGTGTAGTTTTGATTGTATTTGACTCATGCCTATGCCTAAAGATGCCCAAATCTCATGGTATATCACATGCGTGTCTGTTTTGATCGTACGGTACACAGCATCGATGTTTTTGTTGTTCACAGCAGTGGACGGGCGACCATCACAAAATTCGTCACTGACATTCACACGACCGCGTTTGAATTCTACAAATACTTATAAATAGTCGTCTTGCATGGTGCTTCATCGCCAAAAGCAGTTTGAAGCCGAGCGAAGCTCTCCTGAGCTGTTACATTACACTTACGGTCGTAGAAAATCATACTACGACAATTTTCACGAGTTAAATCCGTGGTGATGTAGACAACGAATTTCTAAAACGAATCCACAATGTCAAAACAAGTGACAGTCAGATGAAACAAACTGTATTCTACAGCCAAAGAGTTTCATTTTCAAATGTTGTAATTACTTTTAAATATTGTTTATGTAAGTGGCCAGTTCCGGAAACTTATAGTACGCCCCATGTAATTGTCAGATTATATGTCTGATAATTATCCTTGCTCATTCTTAGTTTTGTCTCTTTAATTTTTGACTAAAAATGTCAAACAGTGAGAAAACGAAAACAATCTTTGGGAAAATTATTTTTTTGGTGCTTTTATTGAGATTTAACTTTGACACGTTTGGATACGTCTCGGATATAAACGCATGACATTGCGAGCGGTAGCATTTTGTTGTTCCGTTAATTTTATAAATGTCAAGGTAATTAATTTATTGTATTTGTTTCCTTTTTGGTGAAAATATAATAGTAATAAGAATTTTCGTATTGTATTGTAATTTATCAAGGTACTTAATTATTATAATAATTATCACTTTGAACCCTGATATTTTATACAGCCATATCAATGCTATATTTTGCATATTCATGATTACGGGTTCCTAATAGATAACGCAGAAGGTGGATCGACGTGGTAGACTATGATTTAAAACCAGTGTATGTTAAGAACTTCACCACGCCCTCGACTAGTTTAGTGGAACTATTGACGTTAGAAGAATTGGTAATTCAAACCGCTCTGGTCGGCGAGAGCGTCATTAATTCTATACCCAAGAGAAAAGCTAAAATTGTTAATTAATTTATGATTTTAAAACACAGTCATTGTACCTGCGTTGCGAAGCCCAACGTATTTGTGCAACCACCAAAGGGTCAACACCATTATTGTGGCCCCCTACCGCGAGGATTTTTAAAAATTATATTAAGTGACGGGACGAAAAAGAAAAAGGAGCACAGTAATGCTGACATTACAGCTTGACGGCAGAAATAGGCTCTACTGCTACTAAACTTTGTTTCATTACAGTTCTCTTACTTTGAAGTACTATGCTTATTCCTATAATCTCTCCCAGTTCCTAAACCATTGCTCGTAAGTCGGATAATTTCTTTATCCCAGTGGACCCACCCGACAATTTTCTCCGGCCGCGTTATTATGAGCTTGATTTGTTTAATAATTTTATTACGGCATTGTTTTGCTGCGCTCGCGCAAGCCGCTTTGTTCGTGGGAAGCTTCATTGTTTTCATATTGCACGTCTATTATTTTAAAACACGTTTAGTAGCACGTGCTTGAATTTGCTACTAGTCGCTGATCATGAATTAACAGAGAGCCATACATTGAAAGAGACAATGTCAAGTCGGAGTCTTGGCTTCGACTTGTTGAAAATTTCAAAGTGTCTTGACTTTTTTCTACTGGCAACACAAACAAATGATACGAAAGTCAATATAAACGCCACCATTTGAAGATTCAAAGTGGTGTATAATTTACCAATGATTATGTACTACCAAAAGAAAGAAACTACCAAGACTTGGCTGTATCATTTTAAACCACTGCCTTTTCTTTAACGAAAAATGAAAAATAGCTTTATGTATATTATTTGCAAACTGTAAAAAAAAATTACAACGATTTTTTTACGACACCAAGTGACGGGATGAACAGCCTGGTGGTAAGCGACGCGCCTGTCCATAACAGTTGCAGTGCCACTTAGTTCTTTAAATCAAAGATCTGAGGGGCTCTGCCAATACGCCCGTCACCCTGAGTTGACAAGTCACATGTGCCTGTAATTTCACCAGAACCCTCACCATTTAAAACTGGAACGCAATATGAGCATTACCTGCTTGGCAGCAGAAATAGGTAAGGTGGCAGTACCTACTTCCCTGGACGAACTCTTTCACAAGGAGCTCTACTGCTACTAAAATTTCTATAATTCAATTAGCTAATTGCAACACAATCCAAAACTTTATCAGTAACAAACGAATATTAAGTTACATTTACACTGTTCTAACATTTTATCTACCGAAACAGAACATGACGTCATTGCGTAAGGCCTTGAGGTTCGCGCTCACAGACGCCAAAAAGAAAAAAAAAAAAAAATGTCATTGTGTAGCATGTTGTGAATTATATTGGTGAAAATAATATTCTCAGTTGGATACTTTAGAACATGGAACAAAAGCTTGTGTTTACTTTTTGCCTGTAACAAGTATGGTGTCAGTTTTTATTAACTGCGCAAACTGCAGCATTTATTGGCTGTACGACCTTTTAGTACGCGTTTTTTGACATTTTGTACGTTTGTATTCACACAACGCAAACAAATGGATGAGTTATCAGTACGATTTTCGTCTTAGTCGCGCGACCTGTTGTTACGGCAATGTAAGTTGAGCTATGTGACGTGGTGTTCTTAATGTTTAAGTCTTAATTGTATTTATATTAATTTTGTTTGGGCTTATGCACTCTACAGTCCTCTATAGTTAAGTCATAAACCTTATCGAAATATTTGTTTTATAATTGTGTATTTTATTGATTGTTTAACCTATTAACAAATAACATTTTTGTTCAATAGACTGGCGGCAGCAGCGGCAGCGGCAGCGGGCGCGACCAGCGAACTGAGCTACCTAGCCGCCCTCCACCCGGCTTACCGTCCTGTGCCCTACGACCATCCTCTTTACGGCGCGAATACTTTACGAGGTAAGTTTGTGATACCTGTACGTCTGCTGCAGGCACGAATTAAGACAATGAGCTCCTGAAGACAACCCTTGGTGGAAAGTTCCATCTCCAAACTTTTCGTTTTTTAATGCAGTAATATTAAAGAAACATGAGGAAAGCATTCACTACGATACATGATATTGACAATGGCATCAAATGACTTGTGCCTGATGGTAACCGACACGCCTATTCATAACAGTTGCAATACCATTCAGAGCTTTAAATCGCATAGACTTGAGAAGCACTGCCACTGCGCCCGTCACCCTGAAACAAAAAGTTGACAAGTCCCATGTGCCTATAATTTCACCAGTACCTTTCGAAACCAGAACGCAGTAATGTTCACATTACTGCTTGGCGGTAGAAAGGAAGGAAGGAGCTTTGCTACTAGCTTTACTACTATGTTACGCGTAGTAATTAGCGGTATGGTTCAATTGTTCTGTCCAACTAGTTGGACTACGTACCTTCGGCTGAGGTGGTAGTGCAATTATTACTTCTATTGGACTACGACTCCCACACTACAGACTCCCAGGTGGAACCAAAACAATATTTATAAATTCCTGCTGTCTGATCATTTCTCCTTCACTTTATTAATAAATCCAAAGCACTTTTATTACATTTAGCACTCCTATTCCTTTTTGAACTGTTCACGTTAGAATATTGTAGGTAAATTGTCTTATTACTGTGATTAACAGCATTATACGGTGTATCTTATTGGTTCCTTTCAATTTTCTACTGTATTTCACGTGATTTTAAAGTCGTTTGATTGGTAGATTCGAATTTCGTACAGTTTCGCGTGACAATAAGGCCGTCAGATTGGTTATTTCTATTTATTACTCTACAGCGTTTTCATCCCAATATACGATTCATTATTAAAAAAAAATATATTTTATGGAAACCTCGACACTTGTCGAGGTTTCCATAACTATACCATACATATTTACTTAGCTATCTATCTAAAATCTTAAATTATCTATATAATGTTATAAACTTAAATATCGCACGATAAAATGAACACGTTACTAAACGAAAACTTTTGGTAAATGACGTTTAATGTTCTGAAAATATGTTTAAATTTGAAAACATGGGAGTTTCGTTTGACGATATTGAGTGTGTGTGTTACATAAAAATGTTGTTTTGCGCCAACATTATGACGTGAAATGCTACATCAGTAGTGTAGCACTGTAATGTCAGGAGAAATACATACAAAAGCAAGACCGTAACATACTGTTTTAGTCATTTACGCTGTTAGTTTCCATTTTCTATAGCATTTTACGTGATATACAAGCCATGTAATTGGTTTGTTTGAACTTACCGATAACCGCCATTAATTCTATTGGTTGTTTGAAATATACAATTTAATACAAAAACCTCATTTGTACATGAAGATAAAATATATATTTTCGTAAATTTACATTGAAGAATTATGTAACCCTCTGATTCCTTAGACACGTTAAATACCAACTGACCTTTTGCCAGTTCATATGACCATAAACAGTAACACTATACTCGAGTGATAAACCTTAAGTGTAACTGTAGACTAATTTGATACTGCAGACGACATAACTGCATATTGCAACCCGAGCACTTGATAACGTTATGTTAATAATAGCGAGTACCTTTTTTCATGGAATGTTTCTTGTTACTTTATACTTTACATTATTTTCAAGTAAATACTATCAACGGTAATGTAACAAATCTCATCATACCTCGAACCTTTGCAACTGCATAGAGATGTTGCATCGATAAGTGCCTTTTATCGAATGTTTATTCGCTAGTGCTCTGAAGAATTATTCAACTTTTCCGTACTGTTTTACAATTTGCCGCTTTAGTGACAACTTTCTCCGTCTCATAATCTTTTCTTCCAGCTCACGTATTTAAAAGTATTCCCTTCATATGAGGTAGGCAGGGTGGAGAAAGCTACGGCAGTAACTGTGATTGTTTCAATTCCGGTCTAGGTTCTATCGCGTTTGGATCCCACTTTTCATTTAATATTAGGTGGATTGGAGACATCATCAAAGTTCATGTGTTTGAAAACATAATCATTGTCATAATTATAGTAATAAGAGTATCACCTACTACATAACATTCTACCGTAAATTATCTTAAGTGTTATTAGAAGAAAACTGAAGATAAAAGTGCACATTCAGAGCATTATCTAGTAACATGTTAACACAGAAAACAATTAGAGGGATTTGAGATAACGTGCTGGAGAAGATTGGTGGGATTTAGTTAGACAGAGAGAAAAACCAATGAGAAGTTGTTAACAATAATGCAGCAAAAGAGAAGTCTATTAAAGACAGTAGAGAACCGAAGGGGAAAGATGTTTGGACACCTGAAACGACATAACAGTATTCTTAGAAGCATTGAAGAAGTAAAGACAGGCAAAGGAAAGTTTTCCTCAGAGCTGAACTGAGTCGGTTGGGGAATTTAAAAAATAATACAAGACATAAATTTACGTTTTTAAGTTGAACTTATGAAACTATCTCTAAAAGATTTTTTGCATAGGTGAATTCCAAAACCAAATAATTACTTTAAATTACGCCATTCCAATACAAAATTCCTTCCACTCTAAAAGCTTTTCCACCATTTAAATCTATCTCGAAACCATACACCACGAAGCCCATACATTATCATACAAAAACCCGCAAATGTCTTTTACTAACACTATCAGAACAATTTATCTCTATGCAGAGGTGTTAATTAGGCTTTGAACTCACGACTTCTTCGCTTCGTCTTTCGTTCTTTGCCATTAAGAAATCTACCTTAAAACAGCTGCGTTTTAAAGTTGAGAATCATATGTTTTGTGTGGAAGATGACAGATATGTTAGGAAGACTATTAAAAGGTATTGGACACGCCAAGATTCGAAACGAAAGGGTTGTGCGACCTTGCAATTAAGACGTTCCGAAACATTTAACTTTATACTGTTTTAGAATATTTCTAAAATTGGATGTGGAGAACGTTTAGAGAAAGGAGAATGATATGAATGAATGATATTCACTTGTAGAATGTATTAACTCGCATACTTTTTCTCAGACGTTGGATTGGTAACTCACATACACCATAACCAGGTGCCTTATGTCTTATAACTACACAATATATAGCTCTGACCGCCGACTCATCGTAAGCGACGTTTTTCATGAATTATGAACTTTACAGTTCTCCCGCCTATTCCTAAAATTCGCGCTAAAATGTTATTTTTGAAATGACCATAAACTATATAACATTTAAAAGTATTATATGTTTTGTTTAAAATTAGCTTTTTAGTTTTTTTTTTATAAAATATAATTGCGCATTTGACCTCCATCTCACCTGATGGAAAGTGATGAAAACTAGTGGCAAAAACTACACGGGCTTTTTGGGGAATGCCTTATTTCTTCATTTAGCTACACTGAAAACAGAACATGCGATTGAAATAACGAAGATATTGTTTAAGGCGATAATGAAAGTTGTTTCAGTCTGAGCCTGTGAAACATAATATTGCAGCATTTACGTACTCACTCCGCTGGCTCAGCGATCCAAAATGTGCGGCCTCCGAAACGAGACGTTGCTACTTTCTTTGGGTCCTGTGCAATCTTTTGCCAATTGCAATTGCAGCAACAATTGTAACTAATAATTTAATCATATCGTGATTGATTCTATCAAGAACCTTGTTTAAATTCCATATGTCTAGTGTATCCATATCAAAGGTCATTGACCTTTTTGACTAATATCTGCTAAAATAACCTTTGGATTCCTTACAAGTGCTAGAGAAATATTTTCATGGACACAAAGGCAAACACAATGTATTAAAATACCTTCACTAATATTGTCTTATAGGCGGGACCGTAGCAGATTAATGGAATGGTACGGGGTTAAGTTAGAGCCTGGTGTGGTTTTTGTTTTAACTCTAGGAATAGAGCATTTAAGGTCTAATATTAGAGCAGAAAAGAGATGTGCGTCTGCAACCATTTAGTTATTTTGGCTAAGCAGCGTGAGGATGTTAGAAAATCCGTTAAAAAAGGTTGTATTATGATAACAATCTTAATATGAAGCACTAGCTACTTGTGCCAGAAAGTTTAATTTGAAAACAAAGAAAGACTTCAATCATCTTTTGATTTCGATTAAACTTTGTGGTATATAATATGGCCAGGGGTTCATATGAACGTTGTTATCATTATTCAACCTTTTTTAGGATTCTAAAAATATGTCCATGAGTATACTTGCCGAATTACAGCACTTCAAGAGGAGACGCTATGGTAGACAATGGGTGAATTAACTAACACGTCAGCTTTTCATTGGTCCCATAACAGGAGAGTGACATAGCGAAGTGGAGAATTTGATCCCTCTTTTTTTCCCCTGCTTTACATAAGTAAATTGACGGACAAAGGCGTCAAGATGGTGTCGACAAGAAAAAATAGTGATCGATCGTGATTACGACAGAGATTCACGTAGCCTTTTGAACACCATCTCTTTTTCAAGGCAGGGTCTACATGTGTAACTTATATTTAGGTATACCTAGGTAGAAGAAGAAGTATCAAAGAAGGGAAGTCCGAGACCGAATTAAAAAACTGTCTCACGAAACTTTCTATAAAAGATTTTTGTATATGTAGTATAGGGGAATTATAAAACCAAATAATGTCTTTAATTTATGCCAATAGCGGAGGGAATCAGTTTAACGGAAAGAAAAACCAATGAAGAGGTATTAAGAATAGTGCAGGAAAAGAGAAGCTTACTAAAGACAATAGAGAACCGAAAGGGAAAGATGTTTGGGCACTTGTTACGTCTCGACGATTTTATTAGAAGCATCATTGAAGGTAAACTCGAAGGAAAGAGAGGCAGAAGGAGACCGAGAAGTAATTATTTAGATCAGATAAGGGAAAAGGTGAGGAAATCGAAGATAGGGCGCTGAGCAGAGATGGTTGGCGACTTGTCTGCCTACAAGAACGTAATATCTTAAATGAAGAAAGATGCCTAAGTGACCTAAGATGATCACCGTGTTAAT